GAACATTGGAAATCTCATTGCTTTTATAAACCACACGAAATGGTTCGTTTCATTTGGGAAGATGAAGGCAGGAGCCTCAGCGGTATTAGAATGAGCCAACTGATCTAAGTGTGCTGGAGTTGACCAGCAGCCGCATCAACTCAAGTCAATTCAACTCAAATTAGGTTATCATACGAACACGACGTGATTTTCAAGGAAGTAAGGTTCAAGAGCGGCCGCGGTAGCCGAGTGGTTAACATCAGGGTTCAAATCCTGCTACGACCAACATCCTAAAGTTATAGAAAAATATTTTAATACAAAAAAATTAGTTACATTTTTTAATTGCTAGTGTATTTCGGACATGAAATAAAGCTCCTCATAAAAAACCATCAGCCATTCGGAGGCCGCTTAGTATAAACTGTAGGACCGTCCATTTGTTGGAAAAACATCAAGACGTAAAACCACAAATTGGAGTAGGAGTTCGGCCGGAAATCGGTTCAACAGATACAAAGCGTCAATTATATGTATATATTGGGTTGCCCAAAAAGTAATTGCAGCTTTTTCATATAGTCGGCGTTGACAAATTTTTTCAATGGTTCGTGACTCTGCAATTGCATTCTTTCTTCTGTCAGTTATCAGCTGTTACTTTTAGCTTGCTTTAGAAAAAAGGTGCGCGAAATTTTGTTTACATTTGTTTGTTTGGCGTCAATTTTATTATGGACCCCACAAAGGAGCATTTTTTTCATATTTTACTTTATTATTTCCGTAAAGGAAAAAACGCGGAGCAGGTTGCTAAAAAGTTACGAGATGTGTATGGTGATGAGCCACGTTCAGGTCGGCCAAATGAAGTTGATGATGACTAAATCAAAGCATTAATCGAATTGGATCGTCATGTAACTGAGCGTGAGATAGGAGAGAAGTTAAATATACCAAAATCAACAGTTCATTATCACATAAAAAGTCTTGGACTAGTGAAAAAGCTTGTTATTTGGGTACCACATGTATTGAAAGAAATTCATTTAACACACCTAATCAACGCTTGTGATATGCACCTTAAACTCAATTAATTCGATCCGTTTTTAAAACGAATCATAACTGGAAATGAGAAATGGATTGTGTACAACAACGTTAGTCGAAAACGATCATGATCCAAGCATGGTGAACCAGCTCAAACCACTTCAAAGGCTGATATCCACCAAAAGAAGGTTATGCTGTATGTTTGGTGGGATTGGAAGGGTGTCGTATATTTTGAGCTGCTTCCAAGGAACCAAACGATTAATTCGGATGTTTACTGTCAACAATTGAACAAATTGAATACAGCCATCAAGGAGAAGCGACCAGAATTGGTCAATCGTAAAGGTGTCATATTCCACCAGGACAACGCTAGACCGCACACATCTTTGGTCACTCGCCAAAAAGTGAGTGAGCTTGGCTGGGAACTTTTGATGCATCCACCATATAGCCCTGACTTTGCACCATCAGACTACCATTTATTTCGATCTTTGCAGAACTCCTTAAATGGTAAAACTTTCGGCAATGATGAGGCTATAAAATCGCACTTGGATCAGTTTTTTGCAGATAAAGACCAGAAGTTCTATGAGGGTGGAATACTAAATTTGCCAGGAAGATGGCAGAAGGTTATCGAACAAAATGGCAATTATATATTTGATTAAAGTTCATTCTAAGTTTTATTAAAAATGCATTTACTTTCTTTTAAAAAATCCGCAATTACTTTTTGGACAACCCAATATAAAGCTCAATCATACCTCCGTACCAAAGAGCGCAGCAGCCAGTAAGTTTTTGTTAGGGCGTAATGGCCCCTCTTCTATTATTGGAGGATTCTCGGAGCCTCCTCCAATGCGACAATTTTGCTCATTTACATATAACTCCAATTAAAAATGTGCACCATCGCTGATGAAAGTTATATTCGAAAAATCACCGTCCCTACTAGTTCTTCAAGCATACAACCAATATATATACGACGTTGTGTATAGTCAACTGGCTTCAGTTGGGTTGTGATATACCCATGCGCGTCATCAGCTACACTTTCACTTCGAGTAGGGGCATCTGGGGTGGAGGGAGCTAAGCGACGGTCTTAAACAATTGGTTGAACCTTTAAGTTTGACAGATGTCAAAGTACAACCTTGTATTTCTGTACACTTTATGTATCGTATTGTAAAGTCTTTCATCATATATTGGCATTTAATAATTCAATTCATATTCATTATTGTATTTTATTGCATTGTATTAAATAATTAATGTCGTACCGCTTCTCTTACTAGGCATACATATGTACATACGTGTATGTATGTAAAATACTTCAGCTATTCAACATTTCTTGCACTTATTTTCTGGAATTCCTACAATATATGTATACTCGTATGTATGTGTGAATAGACTCTAGACAATGTACATACATACGTAGCAACAAGTGCTAACCACCAACAATATAATGCTTTTGTTTATATTTATTGGAACGTATTTATTACATTTTTCTCGCATTATTAAGTTGAATGCGCGGGCTGCGTTCGATGTAAACAAATATGTATGTTTATGTAAATATGTACATATGTATACACGTATGTATGAATATTTTAATGAGTATATATTTGTTATGCCTCCCTAAATTAGCTTCAATTTGTGTTCTGTAAACAATATGAAATTATAAATTACTTTTAGTTTTCATTTTAAAATTTTGTACTAAACTACATACATACGTACATACACACACATACTTGGGTTGGCCTTGCTCTTATAAATGATAAACATTGTTTAAATTATCACTGCCATGTAATAATTAAGAAATCATTATTGCTGCTCGATTGAGTTAAATTGTAATGCAATAATAAAGGAAAGAGGCTGCCGGATGCCAGCGAAAATCGATACATATGTACATACATATTATATATGCATATAAATTCAGTATTTATTGAAGAAAGAAAGCAGAACTTGACTGAGACGGAGAAGAAAATGAAAGTTTAGATATGAAATGTGACTGAGACGGAAAGGAAAATGAAAGTTTAGATATGAAATGTTTTTTTCTTTCACAGGAAAAGCCGGGAGCATAATCATAATTGAGAATTCATATGTCAAAATAACCTCCATTTTTTTTTTTTTTTTTTTTTTTTTGTAGAAATTATAATTTGACTGGTTTTTATGTAACCAGCATTCCGTCATCCTATAAGTTCCAAGTGTCTGAAGCAAATTTGATGTATGGTTTCTCCCCCTTTTTATTTGGCTTTCAGTAACTACCTCGCAACGTTTGGATCGACCACTACAGATGCAATCGATAACCCAGGAATTGTAGAAAGACTACATAACTCAACGCCTTATTTGGGGGAAGGCAGTTCACGGCAGCTGTCAGTCAATGGAACTTCAGACCTTTGCACGGACCGATCAGACACAGCTAATGGAGGAGACAGCTGAACTTTGTGGTACCTTTCAGGCGAATGTCTTTCAGCAGACAGAGCTGCGGACCACACCGTGGAAAAGAGCTTTAAAATCTGCAACTTTTACGTTGATAGCCAAGCGATAATCAAAGCAATTAGCTCGCATGGCAATATATCAGAAAATATTCTCGAAAGTATGGCAGTAGAGGATAGGGCGACCTCAATGAAGCAACAACATACATATTTTCCCGGTTGTAGGTTCAGACATTGTCAAAAACGTAGTATATGTTGAGATTTCCGAAAGGGTAATTATTATTGCAGTTAAACCAGGAACAGTTCCAGCCACCAATGACTCCTTATAATGAATCTTACGGCAGCAAAGCAAGACGAATCTCATCGAAATTGATAAACTTAACCACCTGCAATGCTGCCAAGATAATGTGTGAAGACACCACAGGAAAAAATCCCAATTTTTGTTCACAGGATGCTTAGGGGTTCTCATATTTATGCTTGATTTTATACACCGAGCACCTTGGCTCTTGGAGGAGCACGTGATGTGAGCTCCATGTGAATAAATAAAGACTTCGAGACTCAATCACTTTTTATACGAGGGAGCAGTTTTATGTTCGGGAAATTACTGAGCATGACACCGTTAGAACCTCAAAACTTCACTGTTAAATGCATGTTGATTGGTCCGGATTTCTTTAAAGATTAGATTAAGGACTTTTTCGTGCCTCAATTGGAATATATTGACGTGGAGGATCTCTAGTTTCAAGGAGACACTGCCACTTGCCATACAGCAGGCACCTTTTGATGAGCGTCCCAATATCATGCGATTTAACATCGCTGGTATTTTTTTGGTGGGGTTATGTGAAGCCACTTGTCTACAGATAAGCCGGATATGATATACGTTTAAGAAGAGAATAATTGGTGCGTTATTTCTGTCATACGGCTTGTTAGATCACTGAGCTAGAAAATCATCAAAGTCTCGACATAAATGCGCTCCAGAATTTCAACAAACGCTTTGAGGTTTTACACAACTTCTTTACCCATTTTCGGCGTTACAATGGTGTAATAGGTCTGTATAGAATAGCAATCGACCAGAGTAACTTATAATTGGCGCTTTGTAACCGCTGAAGCGATTTTTCGGTCGAGCTTCTCCTCCAATTTGTGGTTTTGCGTCTTGCTGTTTTTCCACCAAATGGGGGGGCCTACAGCTTATACTAGGCCGTCTCCGAACGGGTGTATACGAGGAGCCTTTTTTATGTCCGAAATACAGTCGGAGGGGTGGATTTACAAATTTAACTTAATTTTATATTTAAATTAATTTTCCACTACTTTTGGATGTTGGCGGCACCGAGCCTTCGCCTATAGCGGCCGCCTTACTTAGTCTTACATAATAAACCTTTCTATTTAGCAGTAAATAAAATTAAGTAATTCTTATATCAAGGAATTTGGTGACACACAGTCTTATTTTAACTTTTTCCGTCCAACTTAATCGTCAAAACAATGTTTATATAACAACAAATTTGTCTAGAATTATTTTAATTGAATTGAATTAATTTAATTGAAATAAAAATTAATTATTATAAAATTCAATAAAAGTTTTAGAATTCTTTTTCTTATTTCCAGGATGACCGCAAATGAAATCGACGTCAATTCGGAAACAACGACGCCCGTTTGAATGCACCCATCACACACGCGAAACAGTTAAAAAATTCGATTGCCACAGCAGCGGCAGCTCAAAAAATTTTAATATTAGACGCGAGATTACGTAAAAAATTCTGACCGTAAAAATTTAAAATTTCTATAAATAAACAACTCAATCAATCAGACACAATTAAATTATATAGAAAACACAGCTGTAAAAAAGCAAAAGAAATATAACGGTAAATAAATATGCAGCTTCCTAGCTTAGTGCAGCACAACTCGCACAGTAGAACGATTAGAAAAACAGCTGATGAAGCGCACACGCTTTGTTAGAGCAGAAAATATAAGAAATTGACCATTAAAAGTAGAAAAAGTAGAAAAAAAATATTATCAAACCAAACCCACACACACATCTATATAACTATAGTAGCTAGTAGTATCATCAAAAACTGTTAATTAAGTTATTAATAACGCAAGCCATTAGGCTATAATAATATAATATATATACATACATACATACATACAAAGCAACAAAGCACGTGCTTCCTAGTAAAAAAGACCTCAGCATTAAATAGAGATTTCAAATAAGAAAACCAAACTAATTTCACACACAACAAGTAAAGGCCAAATTAGCAGCAGCAGCAACAACAACAGCAACAACAACAACAACAAAAGCTGTATTAGCAACAAAGTACACACGCTTATTGCTCCACACGCATAGAGCTTAAAGCTTAAGAGGCACCAAACAAGCACAGAACCGCGGCAGATATAACTGTTCTGTAGCCGAGCAACGATTTGTTTTGTAAATAAATACACGATCTCACTACCAAGCTCCGCTTCGACTTCCACACGCTTAATACTCGTACATACACAACCATGTGTAAATATATATAGAAAGCAAAAGAACACCGCTATAAATCACACCAGAGATTAAAAGTGTAAGAGAGTATAGCACAGCAACCACATACTTAAAACAGTTACATACACCCCGCGCCCAAGGCAGCAAAACAACCGTCCAATATACGAGCCACAACCGAAGAGCCAACGAAACACGCGCACTACACGAGATACGCAAAGTGATTAGTTGGCGCCGACTCCGAAAGACTTACGAATTACTTTACTTATGGCAAAGATCATCGTCTTTTAATACACCACGACATCAAAAGGAAGAAGAAGTCGACGAAGTTGACAGACAGCCAGAATCACCCACATACACGCACGAAAGCGAAAGAGTGAACAAACTACGCAGCAACATGGGCTACACAACGGTAATTAGAAAGCGCGGTCGCGTACGTACACTCATGGCGATCTTCTGTCTGCTCTTGGTGTGCACAACAACGCTCAAACTTGTCCAAGGCGCGGAGACGCCAAACAACGGTACAGCAAATAATTTAGAAGCCGTTGGCAACAAACCAAATAATGATAATAAAGTGACTCGTAATACGGACTCAGAGGTTGAGGAGGGGGCCAACTCGGACGTGAATGCTGTTGCTAAAGCCGGCGGTGCCGGTAGTGGTGGTGGAGGCGGCGACACCAAGAGTGTCGACGGTGTGGCACCAAATCAGAGTCCCAATATTAATTATCACAATAATAATGCTGGTAGTGATGATGTTGATGATGATGGTGATGCCGAGGGGGCTGGTATCTCAAAGAGCTCGGAGGGCGACAATGTCACCGCCTTGTCACAGCACAGCGGCAGTTCATTGAAATGCAAAGACGGTCTGCTGCTTAAAGTTTGGATGCCAATCGACAATGTGAGTACCGGTGATCGCGTTGCGCGGGGCCTTGTGTACTTCTTAGCGATGATATATTTGTTCATTGGCGTTTCAATTGTGTCAGATCGTTTTATGGCGGCGATTGAAGTGATCACGTCCAAGGAGAAGGAGGTAGTTATCAAGAAGAAGGGCGGCGAAACTCAAGTGGTAGTGGTACGCGTTTGGAATGAGACGGTCGCAAATTTAACGTTAATGGCGTTGGGTTCCAGTGCACCAGAAATTCTACTGTCCGTTATTGAAATGTTTCAAAAGGGTTTCGAAGCAGGCGATCTAGGTCCGGGCACAATAGTCGGCTCAGCCGCATATAATCTTTTTGTAATTATTGCCCTCTGCATTGCGGTCATACCGAATGGTCAGGTGCGTAAAATCAAACATTTACGGGTATTCATTGTGACAGCCGCTTGGTCGTTGTTCGCTTACGTTTGGTTATACTTGATATTGGCGCAAATATCGCCAGGGCGCGTAGAAGTATGGGAGGGTCTACTGACATTCATATTCTTCCCCACTACCGTGCTGACGGCTTATATAGCCGACAGACGTTTGTTGATCTATAAATATTTAGACAAGAATTATCGCATGAATAAGCGAGGCGTTATTGTGAGTGCCGAGGGCGACGCCGTACTCGAGATGAATCGACACGAAAGCATTAAGGAGCTGGCCGAGAACGAGGAGATGAAAGACTTCGAGGATGCACGACGTGAATACATTTCAACGCTGAAAGAACTACGTAAGAAGTATCCACAAAGCGATCTGGAGCAATTAGAAATGATGGCTCAGGAGCAATTGATTAATCGAGGCCCCAAATCGCGCGCTTTTTACCGCATACAAGCTACGCGTAAGATGATGGGCAGCGGCAATATAATGCGCAAAGTGCAGGAGCGTGCTCTCACCGATCTGAATGAGGTGAAAGCACAGCTGCAGCGCGTCGAAGTGGAGGCCGAAGAAGATGATACAACGGTACGCATCTGCTTCGAGCCCGGCCACTACACTGTCATGGAGAGTTGTGGGGAATTTGAGTTGCGCGTTGTGCGTCGGGGCGATCTGTCGGGCTATACGACCGTGGAATATCAAACGGAAGACGGTTCGGCCGAAGCGGGTAGTGATTATATTGGTAAAAAGGGTGTACTTACCTTTCCGCCGGGTGTCGATGAACAACGTTTCAAAATCGAAGTTATCGACGATGATGTATTCGAGCAAGATGAACATTTTTACGTGCGTCTAACTAATCCGTCAGAACCGGCAATACTCGCTGTGCCAAAAGTGGCCACTGTTATGATACTCGACGATGATCATGCGGGCATATTCGCCTTCAACCAGAAGACGCATGACTTTGCTGAATCTATAGGCTCCTACGATTTGAAGGTGCAACGATATTCCGGTGCACGTGGTAAGGTAATCATACCATATTGGACGGAGGATGGCACCGGTAAGGCGGGCAAGGACTACGAACCAGTGCAGGGAGAATTGGTCTTCGAAAATAACGAAACTGAGTAAGTACATTGTGGAACTAAAAAAATTTATATTAAATATTATTTCAAAGAAATTAATAAACTGTTGGGAACTGTCTATACTTCTTCAAAATATTTAAAAGAAATTTCAATCACGGAGAAGAGTTTTACTTACTTACTTACTTATATTTATACATCCCTATTAATAAAGGATTCGGTCCCAAAGATGACCGCTAGACAGATTAAAATCCTTTAGCTTACAGAAATCAATTAGCAATCCACAAAATTATATATTTTGAACCCACTGAAGAGGGAATCGTAAATGACTTATGTATGGTGTACTTCTGAACCATCTGGCGTCAAAATTTTCGCTCGTCTTGTAACTATTTATTTCACTTTATATCAGGTGTACTACTTTGCGTACGCCGTTCTTTTTCCAAAATTAAAAGCTCTATTGCGAAAAAGTGCTTACAGATATATTATTCAAAGTATTGTCCTTCGCTAGCGACAACTTTCTCCCATCTTTCCGGCAATTTTTGGATCCCGGCTCGAAAAAAGGAGTCCTCTTTTGACGCTATCCATGAAGCAATCCATTTTTCCAATCCTTCGAAGGATTGAAAATGTTGATCTGCCAGGCCGTGAAGGGGCGGCATCTGGGAAATACGGCGGGTGGGACAGGACTTCCCATTTCAGCGTTTCCAGATACTTTTTGACCACTTTTGCGACGTGAGGCCGAGCATTGTCGTATTGGAATATGACTTTGTCATGTCGCTCTTGGTATTGTGGCCGCTTTTCTTTTAGCGCGCGACTAAGACGCATCAGTTGCGTTCGGTAGCGATCTCCTGTGATGGTTTCACCCAGTTTTAAGAGTTTGTCTTCGACATCGAAATCACCATTTTTAAAACGTTCTTTCACTCAGAGCAGCATACACCGTAAGTTTCTGAGAGCATTCGATGCGCTTCAGCTGCATTTTTTTTTCGAATTGTAACAGAAAAGTAAAACTTCCCGCAAATGGCGAGAACTAGGCACATAAACGGAAATTTTCGAGCGTGAATAATACGAAAACAAGAACAACCGTCACTGAAACAACGATGACAATTCGTTAGGCACTGTCCACACTCACTTTAAAGCCATTTTCATCTATGTATTTAAACCAGCCTCAGCCGGTACAGCCACCTATCGGAAAACGGCGGAAGCTAAGTTGTACACCTGATAAGATAACTTGCTCAGCTGCGAGCCGCCTGATAGAGTTCTCCCCCTTACTACGATGACTTGTCTAGTTCCGTTTTTCTTTCGGATAACCCTGGGCATAGGCTCAATTTGATACCGTAAATGCGCATAATTGTATAATGGGTTGTCGGCTGAGTTCTCACGGAGCCAAAAGTTCTGAAATCAAATGTATAAAACCACTTGAATACACGACCAGGACAGCTTTCTGTATAATATTCAAATTGAAACTAAAGTAAATTGAATCTTAAAAAAAATGTTTCAAATAACTTGATTCCTGGTCCACTTCCCAGAAGAGTTAACAAACTTTACAAGCCTTCTAGAGAACTATAGAAATAAATCGACCCAGGTTGAGATTATGGAAAACAAATAGACAGATTTTTATTTTTTAACTATCATTATATATATAGAAATACAGAAAGCCTATTAAGGTTTTCCGTAAAAACGGTCTTACTCGCATCGAAGTCATTTTTTTGGTTTCCCATAAAAAAGCGGCTATCCTGCCAAGGGTGTGATTAAAGACATTCGCCTGATAGATGGGGGCTCAATATAATTAGTGGTAAAGTAGTCCTCGTAGTATAAAATCGTAAGACATCAACGCTTTTGCCGAAATTTAAGGGAGCCTTAATATCAAGCTTCAAATCTTCATTATTCTCTAAACTGCGTGGCTCCTAAAAGTCCGAGAAAGGTTCTAGAGACGGACTGATAGAAGAAGAGGAGATATTTCATCGCCTAACTAAGGTCTGCTCCCTTACGTTTCTTACATGTGCTACTGCTACTAACACCAATTCTTCCCGCGTGTGATGCCAATAGAGGGTGGCCTCTCATAAGGACTACAATGGACTTGTAAACCTTTTGGGACCGGGTAAGCAAGAAATAGGTGTTTTCCTTTCTGCTATTTCAGACGATCCTGGCGGGTATTTTACGTCGTAAAAAACACACCAACTTATCGTGACCCGTCTTCCAGCTCTCGAAAATTTGAATTATTTACAGACGTTAATGTCCATCGAATTTTATTATCTGGTTCTGCCGGCAGACGGATATCATTTTTGAAAAATTTTATTAGCAGTTTATATCGTTAAATATTGAGAGCTTTTTGCTTTAATAATAATGCGGAGGCTTGAAGGGTCGTTTGAGATCTGGCTCATCGCAATAGATTTCGGCGGCCGTTCCATCAACCATTTTTGGTAAAACTTACTGTGTAAGTGTACCGAACCATTGTAGGTTTTAAAAACTTGTATCAAAAAAAAAAAGAGAAGAATACGTCATGATTTAGGACGTCGCCATTCTTCTCTATGTAGATGATTAAGCGGAGTTTCAATTTTTGAATGCCTTCTTCGAAATAGTTTCTGCCCACACCTTCGTCCATTTTTTCATCTTCTCCTCTACCCCCTCGTCGGTTGAAAGGCTTTTCCCACCCATGTTTAGCCTCAGAGAAGCAAAGAGTATACCTTTGATGTTTCAAAACATTCCATCTAAACGAGTCGAGCAGTTCCTTCATAGCGTTGACCGCGTGTTGTCTGGCGTTGTCGTGTTCACCGAACAACGTGGTACAACCATTTATAAACTCGTTACACCACATAACGTTTTCACCATATGCAGATTTCATCTCATAAATCCCAAGTCCAAGTTTTCCATTCAAAACGAGCTAATTTGCGGGAGACTAGATGGACATTGTTCCTGAAACGTGTTGTCGTGTCGCTAGTGCTCAACGTACTGACCTCGAACCAATCTCATTGCAAAGAGAAGAAGTCTGCCTGCACTGCCGGGTTACCAACGTGACGAAAATAAAATCACTCCGGCCGTGAAAGCCTGAGTACACTTATTTTCTTGATACACATCGTAATTCAGATAAAGATTCACAAAATTTGACTAATTATTCCCTGAAATACTGCAACTCCAAATGCCTAGAAAATTTAGCAATTTTCTTTTTTAAGCTTTCTAAACTTTCCGCCGAATTGTAGGCAACGGTTTTTTCATACAGCATTTTATTATACAGTTATGGTGCTAGGTGGTCTACAGGCTGTTAAGTTTTCTACTTAACTATAAGAAAAAGTATTTCAACGCCAAAACCCAAGCAAAATACTCTCAATGTTCTCATTGCTCACACACCTGTGTCTATTTTTGAAAAATGCGTATGACTGTAGCATAAACACTAATTAAGATGAATGCAGACAAACAAAACGATTCTCAAGCAGTAATTTTGGTTATAAATCATTTTAAGCTTTCAAACGAAAATTTACCAAAAATACCCAGTAGTCGTAAGCGCCTTATACTGGCATGGTGTACATACATATATGCAGTGAATTCGGCGACTAAAAATCCATAGGAGAATAATTTATAAATGCATAAAGACCTCTCTCTATCTATGCATGGGCGAGTATAATTCATACATACGAGTATATATGTAAACACATTTGTACATATGTATATGTGAGTAAATAAAATCGAATAACTACTTTGTATTCTCCTGAAGAAGAAAATAAAAACAAAATCCACTTTAATGAATGTGCTGAAAAGCAAATATACATACATACATATTTACATAGCACATGCCAATTTATAGCAATGCATGAGTACATGTCTGCCTTACCCATATATTTGTATGTACATATATATGTGTATGTACCCCACCAACGCATTTAGCGAAACCATAAAATTCCGTGAATGTCGAGGGAAATTGAATGGTACCTTGAAATCAATATCCGCAATACCGCAAAGCGGGCGACGAGTGAAAAAGAAAGTGCTAGAGCAAGCAGAGAGAGAGAAACGGAGAGGGAGGGAGGGTGTGAAGCAAGGTGGTTTCTTGCCGCTTTCAGGGTTTGGTTGGTCTTGCCTTGGTTGGTATTGGTGTAGTGCTCTTGCTTTGCCCATTGTCACCATGGCCTTGCATTGTGCTGTTGCCGAAGAAAAGAAAATACATAAATGCTAAGTTCCCGTTAGCAGCTGTTGCCACTTGACCATTCATACGCGCAGGTAGCATTGAGGAACTAAACTGTATTTGACGGTCATGCATGCACCCATTAGTTTGTTTGTGTGTGTATTTGTTGATTTACAGAAGAATTTTGCATTTATTCAGCAAACAGCTCTAGCTGTCGCTCCAGCTCTTTAACGAAAAATGATTTAACGAGCATACATTCAAGTATTGGAACGTGCTCATATTGGCATTTGCGAGCAGGCCAACATATACACCTACATAACATACATGCATATGTGCATTTATGCATACATATAAGTGGCAGTAGCTTACATACGTGTATGTGACCCTGCAGGAAGTGAAAATAGTTTAAACTAAACTTTTGTCTGTTTACATACTTGCTGACATACCTATACCACATGCATAGAATAGAATAAATGACACAGTTTTCCTCCTGTTGACCAAAGCTAGGTAGTTCTGGGCGATTGCTGCCTACAGACTCTCGAAGTTACGACTGTCAACAGTGAGGTGGAAGCCGAGCCGCGAATGCGATGACAGTTTCTTTGGTAACAGAAAATATTTCGTCTTGTCCTCAGTCACTACCAGACTCATTCACTTCTTCTTCTTTATCAAGTCTCGAGCTAAAAGCCTATGATATCATATGTATTCGAACCTTGTCATAGTCGGAAAATGGAACGTTTTTTTCCATCAAAATCGATTGTGGTTTCGGTTTCACCATCGTCTGGTGTTCCACATTCACTGCCATTCAGCAGAATGGGCTGAGAGTGTTTCTTCATATATTCAGTATACTCTGGGCATCAGTCACTAGATCACCTCTCTGGGTCCTAAAAGAATTCGCTCGGCATTGAAAACGTCCGTAAGTGACGGTATCTGTTCG